TGCTCTTCTCAAACCCGCTCCTTGACTCGACCTTCAGAATATTTCCAGAATCTGTCCTCTTGTTATCACACCCACTGCTCTGTCTCTGGTCCACGATGCCATGACATCCCTCGCCTGGATTTAACTGGAGCCTCCTTGGAGGTCTGCTGTTCTGGCCTCTCCTAACACAGCAGCCATACTGATGCTGTTACAAAGTGAGTCATGTCCTATCACTCGTCCTTACCAGACCTTCCAGTGGCCTCCCCCCCCTTAGAATAGAAGCCAAGGTCCGTGCAAAAGCTACAAGATCCTTAAGATGGCCTGTAAGATCTGGCTCCTGCTGTCTCTCTGAGCTCATCCTCACCTAGGCCCCAACCCTCCTGCCCCATCACACCAGCCCCCTTGCTGCTCCTGCAACGTTCCAGACATGCTCCTACACCCGGACCTTTATACTTGCTGGCTGCCCTCTTCTGGAACGTTCTTTCCCCAGATATTTACATAAACTGATCCCTTCTTTTAGGTGTTTACTGAACGTCCCCCTCTTAATAAGGCCTGCCTTGACCTACCCTAATAAGACTGTACCCTTTCTGACGTTTCTAGCCACTTTCCCCTCCCCCTCCTCCTAAAAGCACTTATCCTGCTCTAACACTCTGTATCGTTTACTTTTTAATTTTGTTTATCTGTCTTCCCCCACAAAAATCTAAGTTCCCCAAAGGCAAGGACTTTTTGCCTGTTCACTGCTGTATCCGCATCATCAAGAGCAATGCTTAGGATCTGGCAGGCTGATAGATCGGCGCATCACAATCAAATACTTTTTGAACGACCCGACTCGGTGCGTGAGGCTGATGGCAGAACAGGCTTGATATACAGCTGCATCTGTGCTCCTCAGGAGGCCCCCTGCAGAGCCCTTCCAGAGCCTTCCCTGGAAAGCTTCAGGGGCAAAGGCAGTGACTGCATCCATCCTAGATGATGGGAGAGAAGGGAGTAGTGAGCCTGGGCCTCTCAGTCCCGGGCGTCGGGTGAGTCTCCTCTCTCCTCCCTGCGCGAGGCACCTTCCCACCCCCTGACCCCAGCCCCTCACTTTCTGGGGCAGAGTTGGAAGGACAGAAGGAAACCCCTCGGTTCTTGGAAAACAGATGGTCCTACTCTCAGCGGAACCTGGACCTCCCTGGCATCTCATTTTCTTAGCTAGTTTGGTTTAACCAAGGTCACACCAGGTAATGCTAACAGAATGTGCCCTTCGGAAGGGGCACTCCATCCCCCCAGCCCCTCAGGCAGAGCGGGGAAGGGAAAACAGGAGCAGGGGGGCCTCTGGTCTTGTGCTCCTCCCCAATAGAAACTAGAAACACTCTCATCAGAAACGGAGGCGAAAAGGGGTCAGGGACAAATAAACAAGAAAGATACCTCCAAGTGAACACGCACCCCGTGGGTGGAGCGGATCTATAAATGACTAATTCCAAGAACATTAGATTAACATCCTCCTACTCTCTATTTTGATTTAATGGAAACTCGGCTCAGGGAAACTGAAAAGGTCTAAAGGTTAATTTGATAAGACTGATTACTCAATTAAAAGGTGATGTTCCTTTAGGAACATTACCCGTTAACCTTTCGAGTTGGAAATTGACAGTATGGTTATTCTATTAGTAACAACAGAAACCAAGGAAGTTTTCCCCCCAAGTGGTATTGTTTTGTTGCCAAGACATTGCAGAAAAGGTACATCTACCAGAAGTGGAAACATTATTTTTAATTAAAATCATTCAAGAGATCCAGCCAGAGGCTACCTCATTGCGTGCTGCTCTGCTCTAGTAAAATGTCATTACTAAAAAAAAAAAAAAAAAATTAAATGGGTCAATAAAGTCTGAGCTCTACATTATGGAAAAAATTACAGCTTCCTAATTATGTCAAACTAACATAGCTTTATGGGTCTGAAGGCAATTTTTCTTTCAATTCCATGATCATACTTCATCTAAAATGTTCCTGGCCAAGGCCAGCACACTGGGAGGCAGAAGTGGTCAAAGGCAGGCCGTGGACGGTCTACACCGTCAGGAGGGGGGGACCTGCTGGGGGACGACAAGGGCGGCCCTTCTCTATCGGGAGAGAACGCATGTCACTGAGGGGATGCCTACCCCCTAGTCCTAGGTTCTATTAAGAACAACAGAAACCAAGGAAGTTTTCCCCCCAAGTGGTATAGTTTTGTTGCCCTCATGCGGGAGGGCACTTCACTGGGCACGGGCACGAACACGCACACGCATCTAGCCACGGCTCTGTTCTCTCTCTCCTCTCCGGGATCTGCTTGCTTACAGAGAACAGATGTCCTGCTGTCTTCCTCTCTCTCCTGTGCTATAAAGGGGCCTGCCCCGCTCTCTGTGCTCCAGCGCCTGTGACCGTTCAGTGGCGGTCATGGCTGAGCGAGTCTAATTCAGGAGCCTTCATTCAACAAGGCCGCCCGCCCTCAGACCTAAGCTCTGCCCGCCCCCCTGGATTTTTACCGGTGATAAAGCTGGTAACTCGTCCATCTCATCACGTTCACCTGACTCCTGCATGCCATCTCTCTCTCCTTCCCTCCCACCGCTGTCGGGCAGGAAGGAGACGCGTGTTTTTTATTAACTGACCACCCCCCCCACAAGTTCATTATAGGTCCCACGGGGTTCCAACCCTATTGCCGTTCCCCAGGGGGCTTCTATGTGCCAGGAGCTTGCGCGTCTCACGTAATCCTCACGAGAACATTATCCACATTTTACAAAAAAGAAAACAAGCACAAAGACGTGAAGCGAGCTCTAGCCACTCACACAATTAACACTGGGCGTCCGTGGGACTGAACTTGGGTGTGCCTGACCCCCTGAGCCCACGTGCTTTGCAAGGGACGCAAACGGGTAGGACTGGAGCCCAGGATGCACGTGGTGGCAAAGAGCAGCTGCAGCGGGGAAAATGAGTCAAAGACTGAGTTTCCACAAAGGGGAGACGGATGAGTCGGGACCAGGAAGCCTCAGGGGCCAGAGCTCCGACACTCAAGCCACCCAACCAGTAAGTGGCAGAGCGGGACCGGCCCCCAGAGATCTGGGATGTCCATCTGTGCATCTGCCGCAGAGCAGCTGGGAAGGAGGGAGCCGTGGGCCAGCAGCTGGCTCTACTGGGCGACAAAGGGAGAGGGCTCGGAGCCGTCTGGGAACACGGATGCACACTGTGTGGGAGCTGAGCAGAAATAAATGCCTTTAACATCACTTTTATCGTCAGAAGTTGAGGGGCGTCTGGAGGGCTCAGTCGGTGGAGCGTCTGACTTTGGCTCAGGTCATGATCTCGCGGTTCCTGAATTTGGGCCCTGCATCAGGCTCACCGCTGCCAGCACAGAGCCCGCTTCAGATCCTCTGTCCCCTCGGCTCTCTCTACCCCTCCCCGACTCACGCTCGCGCACGCGCTCTGTCAAAAATAAATAAGCACGTTTTTTTAAGAAAAGGTGAAAACGATTGCCAAGTTATAGAGCAGCACCCTTTACAATCATCTCGTAAATGCATGGAAATGCACTGCATTTCCATTATACTGTCTTGTATGAATCTCTCGACTAGCTGGTGAGGGATCATCAACCCCTCTGTTTAGAGCAGGGCTCTGCAAACGCTTTGAAAAGGGCCGGAGAGTAAATACATTAGGCTTTGCAAGTGGCACGGTCTGCCGCAGCCCTTCACTTCTGCTGTTGTGGCGCGGAAGCAGCCAAAGATAATGTGCAAATGAATGGGTTTGGTGGTATTCCAATAAACTCTATTTGTGGACACTGAAATGTGAATCTCGTATCGTTTTCATATGTGGTGAGATCTTAGTCTTTTCTCCAAGCTGTTTAAAAATGCGAAAACTATTCTTAGCTCACAAGCTGTACAAGAACAGGCAGCTGGGTGGACTTGGCCTACGGGCGGTAGTTCGCTAAGTCCCGGTTTGGAGAAAGACAGGGTTTTACAGATTAAATGACTTTCTCAGGTTCACAGTGCTAATAAGGGAGTGGGGTGGCTTGAACTAAACCGACATTTAAAACATCTGCCTTGTTGGATGCCTTTTCAAGGCAAAGGGAAGTTAACAATGGATTTCCAGGCAAGGCCTCTATAGCCACTTATGTGACCTAAGGGGTCAGGTACAAAGGGAGGAGCTAGACAGAGAGGTTTATGCCAGTTTGGTTGAGTTTCCCAAAATGGCTGCAGCTTCCACTCTTGTGAACTATCAAATCAGTACTGGAGACACACACACACCTCGGGAAATGAGATTTGCACTGCCATCTAGTGTTGAGCTGTTACTTTAACTGAGAGCTTAAAAAGAAGCTCTTCTTGGTACTATGCACTAAGAGTGAGAATTTTACGACATTCCAAAACCATACGAACAAAGCACATTTAAAAGTATAAAATTACTTATGATGTCATTTCGCACATCCCATCCAACTTTCTCGTGAATTCACACAGTAGGCCTGAAGCGGAGTCCCATGGCGGACAGTCCACCCCACTGCCAGGTATGAATGGAGGTCAGGAAGCACAGGAGACAAGGTGTCTGCCCTGCAACGCTCCTGTATCTGTTGAGAGCCGGAGTCCATTCCAGAAACCATTTTGGAAGGCTCAATCAAAATGCTTTCTCTCTTTTAAAAAAGCAAGCTAACCAAACCCTCTCTAGATGCAAGAAACGCACCGACATGACACGTTTTACGTGACCGGCAGCGTTCCATCGTGGGTTCAGTAAGTCCGTGCTGAGAGGGTGGGTCTCGCGTGTGTCTACGTGTTTCCCAACGTGTGTGGCACCAACACAGATGCAAACGTGTGGCAGCATCGATCCTGAAGATCGTGCCGTGGGGGGCACTGGGACTTGGAGGGTAGAGAAGAGCCTATCTTGGGGACGGGCGGTCCTTTCTGCCACCGACACCACGGCCGAACCGATCTTCCCCACGGCGACTCTGGGTGAGTAAGTAAAAAGTAAGGGCAAATGCCTCAAAAGGAATATAGGTATGGAAAAGAATTCAGTCACCAAAGCCATGGTAAGAAGTATGCACTTACCTATAAGCATTAATGTAATCTTTCCTGTGTTCCAGGAGAAAATCTCTCAGTTTGCCAATGTGTGAAATCTAGAATGAAAAGAAAGCAAACTGTTAACATGGGGGGGGG